TAAGAGTGATTTATAAATGAATAATTAGGTGGTTAATTTTTAAATATCACGAGATGTGTCGTGTATAGTACCTTAAAAACCGGGTATACAGAGTAGAATGCACACATGCCCCAGGTACGTATCTTACTATTTTATGGGGCCTAAAAAGGTCTAATAACTAACATAAAAATATGAATATTTAACTTTTTTGAATGAAATCTATATTTTATTATATCTAATATAGATATAGATATAATTCTATATCTATATTAATTAACTTTACCAATACCCCTTGCCCGTATCCTTTTAGATTATTGCATTATGTTCTCATATTTATTTATTTCTTATGACATTCTCATCTATGAATCATATTTTAAATATAAAACAATGATATGAAAATAATATGTATTAGATGTTTTAAAATATATACATATAATATTTATTTATTTATTTTCTTTTGTATAACATGTTTTTAATGATTATAATATAATAGAAGATATCGTCGTCTCAGTTCAAGATTGCAATAACTCAAAAATATGCAGAATTGAGTTATCTACGTGATATTATTTGCAAAATTACAACGATTTCGATTCTATAATGCAATAACTTTTAGTTGCATTATTCACCTTTAGAGGTCGTTTATTTCATTCTAGAACCAGTAGTTTCATAATTTGAGTTATTGCAGTCTTGAACTGAGGCGTCGATATTATGTTTTAGTAAGCTAGTATATTTTACCCAATAACATATATATATATAAGTAGTACTGTAACCCTACTACTCGAGACCCGTGTCTAAAATCAAAATCATGAGGCTCCTTATTATGGTACATTTTTGAGCATTCGACCTTTTGAGGCCCCATAATATGGTACGAGGTTCGTGGCCTGTGTGCAATGCACACTCGGCGCACTCGGTTTTTACGGCACTGATTCTAAGTATTATGTATAATAATATAGTTATCTATGCTAAATTTTTTACCCCCATTTCGTATAATAGTTTAAAATTTGTTTAAAATGTATTGGTATTTTTTTGGTGTAAAAAAAAACATATCTATTACATTTTAATCCTTATTACTTTTTTATATCAGTACTCAGTGCTCATTTTTTTTATATTATTAAAATTACATAATTCATTTTTGAGTATTTTATTTGTAACATTGTTTATATTCCAGTGTTTCATTGTGTTATGAGTATAATGATGGCTATTTGCCAGTATCAGTATGTCAATGCAAACATTTTATTTCCGGTGTCCTAAGTCTTAGAAGGACATGACCTTTTATTTTTTTGCTAATCTGATTATTTCAATCTAAATGATCGAGTAAAAATGTAGAATGTAACTTATAATCAAAGATTTTAGTTAATTACATAAATAAGTAAAATTAAATAATTTTTACGAAATGTTAATATCCAGACACCGACTGACTTGTTTTTTTTCTCTTGTATTTCTGAATAGTTATTAAAGATACTTTAATATTAGATAAATTATATTATTTCTATATCATACTCATAGGTGAACCTAGAGTCTTCCATTTGAGTGTGCCGGCATTTTTTTGTAGTTATTTTTTTATAATATAAATGAGTGGCTATAAACAAATTCATCAACTTTTTTCATTTTTTTTATCTATACTTTTCTTCCATAAAACGGTATATAAAATAGACAACAGTTAAAATATTTTAGGTATTCAATACTTGTTTAATAACCAATGCTATAACCTATTATTGTATAATATTTTATGATATTTTATGATATTATTTTATAATATTTTTTTCGTGTCCACAATAACATTGAATATAATTTAACAATAGCAATGAACCAAACTTAATAATTGGTAAAAAATGCATGAAATTATTATTTCAGAAACTTATTGAGTTTTTCAATATCTTGTAGTTTTACTTAGAAAAAACTGTAATTCAATTAATGTGTATTAATTGTTATTTATTATTTATCTGGGTACACTCAGCACATCACGTAAATCCGCCTACGATTATACTTTTAAACTATAAACACATACCTACTCTATAAAAGTAATAAACTAATATGTATGGTTGTGGTATTCTAAATATATTATGTAGTAATGTATTAATTCATTGTCTAAGGAATTATTTGTACGATTAATTTATGTTCTAATATTAGTTTATTCATATTTTATTCAATTACAATTATTTAAAAAAATCACTGTGTAATATTTTTCTATACACATTTAAGGTTTGAATTTAATCGTACAAATACAAATGTTGATGACTTTGCAGATTATTGCATATTAAATGAAAATCATATATTTAGGTAGTTAAAAAATTAGAAATTATATCTAAATTAAGAGCTTAGTCAGATAAATTTAGAATTTACGGAAGTAGCTAGGAAACACTAAGACGTGTACGGTGAAGCCCACTTCACTAAATGGCTGCCTAACACCATATTGTAATTAGCACTCATGCAGTTAATAATAAATAAGCGGCAGCGATTTGTGTTATTATTACTTACTTATATTTTCATTTTTTCTTTCTTTAACGTTTTCCATAACAATTAAACCTTAACTAGTGTTGATTGATGATGACCTGTATGATTACTTTTTTTTATTTTCTTACTTTTTGTGTAAATGTATACAACTATGCTACTAATGCAATATAAATATAAAGTAAACATTTAACACATGACCAATTTTCAATATTCTATTGAAGATATAGGTTCTATTTTTAAAATTAGTTCATATTTTTGTTTTTGATTCCAATTTCTAGAATGTTATTATAATTTAAATGTACATGTTCGTTTTAAAAATTATTTTTTCAAATTCGCAAATTATGTATGAAATAAAGTTAGAATTAGTATTATGAATTTATTGTTGTTTTATTAATATATTAATGGCATAGATTACATATCATAAATGGTATTTTTACATTCAAAATGAGTCACGGACTAACGCATTAAGTGAAATAAATGTCTTCAAGTAATTAAAACAATCACATAGAATATCTATACAGAATATATTTTTTAAATTAATTTAATTTTAAAGAGTTAGTAGGTAATGAGTTTTTAAAATTAGAAACGTTTTTTATTATTAGTTTATATGTCATAGTATAAAAAGTATTAAATAAATAACTAAACTACACTACCATTAGGTACAACAACAAATTTAAAAGCAATATTATCATATTTGAAGATTTTCTAGTGAGAAAATTTGTTCAAATAAGTCAAGTATGCACAAAATTCTTTAAAAAAAAAATGCAGTTTACAATACAATGCAATACATTTTTAACCAACAAGATATTTGTATAGATAAATTATAATAAAAATGTATGTATGACAGTTAAAATTATATATGATGAGATTGGATGATTGAAAATAAATTTACCAATTATCATTTATTATAATGGCCACACATTCGACGTAGACCATTGAGTAAAAATGAAATGTTAACAGCATAATATTCGTTGTATTATGTATTCAATCAAATTTACAAAATAAAATTTATATTTATGGTTTCTGTGAAATATTTAAAATTCGTAAACGAAAATTTCTTCTGAATAGGTCCATGGACAAACGTCAAATTGTAATATGCTAAAATATGAAAACTACATTATTTGAGTACTTATAAAAGGTGATCGATTTAAATGTATTCAACACTTTAAGTAGAACATTGAAATAATTGATTACTCAGTGTATAGGTAGGCGCTCCTCTTTCGTAAAATACCGTCAATCTTAATCTATTTACTCTTATATATAATATATTATAAAAAAGAAATCGGTTGGCTTATAAACGATAACATTTTAGAAACCGCATGTTAACTAATTATTTGCGCTTATTATAATGAAATGTATTTTTGATTATGCTTCAAAGTATTAAAACTTCATTTAATTAAGTATAGAGTAGGAATCGAATCAATTATTTTATGTTTTATAATTGAAATCTGAAAACAAACAACATAACAAATTTCACTATTTGCATTAATAAGAAATATCTAAGACTATTATGACTTTATTATGTTGCAATGTATATATATATATATAATTTATAAGCCTACATGGTTTTAGAAGTAGTGACTCATCACTGAATTTAATAGTTCAACAATTACATCTACGTAATTTCCTTTGATACTACACCTATCCTAATTTTAATAAAATTATAGAATATTGCGAAATTGTCCTTGAATGACCCTGATGATGCGTTTCACAGTAAATATTAAGTTTATCAGTATGAAAAATAACATTTTCCTAATTTATGCACGCTTGATTTTAAATAATGTTTTTATTTTTTATTTTGATTATACATATATCAAAATTAAAACAACGTTAATATTAAAAATAATTCGGTAGTTTATCTTTTATTTAACAAACACAATATTTATATAAAGTTACAACAAATATCAATTTATGTCATTAATAAAGTTATGTGTACCTTATTTGTGTATTTTTCATTTAACAAAATACTTTCATGATTTGTGGTTAACGGGATGTCAGAACTGTGGTCCAGATGTCTGGAGTGATCTGGCTCACGTTGTAAAGGGTGTGAGTCATTAAGCTAGATTTAGACACAACACGGCTGTAGAGAGTAGTGCTTTTCTAGTGTTGTGTATTTGTATGTTTATTTCCTTGCACGATTCCTGACGGACAACAACTATGTGTGAGCTTAGCGAGTGCGTCACAAATGAACACTACAGTAAGTAGCCAACCTATTTGGCTTCGTTTACTAAATGGCTTGTCTTATTAATATTCTATATTAATGTTTAATATATATATTGTCGAATGTTGTTTTTAATTAATTTAAGAAGTTCAAATAGTTTTATGTTATAGTTTTGAAACGACATAAGTTTTTTTTTTATAGTTCAAATTTTGAAAGGAACGTCAATAATCTAATCCCTGATTTTTTTAGTTTCCAAATATTATTAAATCTTAAATATTATTGAAATATATTTGGTAATTTATTTTATTATAAATTGTTAAAAATTTAATATTCAGTGTATTATACTTATTATAGCTTAAATAACTAATATAATAATAATTTAATTATTTCATGTAATATATTCTAGGTGGTATTTCAGGAACACATCCTGAACTAGATAACTTGTATCTGATGTTAGATCAACAACTACATCCAATCCCACCAGATAACACTTGTCCACAATCAGTTCAAATTTTTGAAGAACATAAACAGGTACGCTTTTCATGATATGTTAAATGTTAATTGTGTTAGTTACTTATATTTCTAGTTGATTTAATTTAAAAAAAAAATTTAAATAAATAAGATTTTTCGAATAAAAATAATAATTTTAATATTTTTGATCCTAAAGGTTTTAAAATTTTAATATTAAAGTGTTCTATAACAGAGTAATGTATTTCAAGTCTTAATTATACTCAACAATATGAAAACATATTCACTACATTATTAAATTGCTAAGGTCTTATCTTGTGATCTTGTATATAGATAATAATCTGACACTTTTGATTATTTATTCAGCTTGCTCAAGAATATCTTAAAGTGCAAACAGAAATAGCATATTTATCAAGACATATGGAACAATTAGCAGAGCGCTTAAGCCAGGAAGAAATTTTGTGTGATGAAGGAGTAGAAGAAGATGATGAAGAAATTAAAAAACTCGAAAGTGAAAAGGTAAAATAAAAATAAATGATAAATATTTATTTTATCCATAGTGATTTTTAAAATTAATTTATGATTCAGGAAAATTTAACACAGATGCATCAGAACTTAAAAAAACAATTAGAAATGATAAAAAGAAAAAACAGTAATCATTCAAAAGAAAATGATCCATCATCATAATTATTGTGATTATATATATATATTTTTTATTCGGTTAAGCAGTACGAAGCAAGTTTTTTTTGCATCATAATACATAAGTTGACAATGACTATGGGTAATGGAATTCAATACTTGTAAAAAATTAATATTTATATATTCTATAGATAATAATAATTAATTTAACACCTTTACATATAGATACACTTTATAGAGAGATAATTTTTACAATATATACCAATGGTTGTCTATCTAAAAGACAAAATTATTATTGCATTGACTATTTTTGAGATCAATATAATTTATATTTATATGAAAAATATATTATGGGCATTTATATAAAAATATAATTAAACTAATTTCTCCAAAATTAATGTTTGTTTCATAGTAATCATCTCTTTATAAAAAAATTAACCGTTGGTACTCAATTGTAATACCTAATAATTCTATATTTAATTTAATTTTTTTAACTATTGTTATATGTGTATTGTTTTTATTAATAAAATAATAAATAAATTAATTTTTTTTCAAGAATACCAGGTAATTTGAAGTTATGGTATTTTATATTACAGATGATTATTACAAATTTATATAATATCATTATGTCAATACTTTTATCAGCTAAATAAAACATTTAAAATTAATTTTATTCTTCTGTCATGTATTATAGTGAAACCTTTATCAACAAGAAGTAAAAAAATTTCTCTTTATTACAATAGTGAAATGCACAGTTATTCTTTTCTCAAGATTTGTAGGATTTATAAAAATATCTTTTGCAAAAATATTTCCTAGATTGGAAAGTACTTAGAAATATTATCTGGAGGTTTCACTATAAATAATAAATGTATATCTGTATTTAATTTTTCAATTATAACGTTCTTGTTTTATTTAAATTATTGTGAATTTATATTCTAGTCTCATGAAATAATCAATATTTTTGTGATTTTTTTTTTTGAACAATTTTATTTAATTTTGTTAAATTATTGAGTATTAGACTGTATTTTAAAATTATATTTTGTATACGTGTTTATTGATTTTGTAACATTGACACATAAACCTATTATGACTAAAATTGTTTTATGTTAAAATTAATTATAATGATATATATTTTATTTTTTAAAATATTAATTATAATTATTACACAAAAAAACATATGCACTTTATTCGTTTTTTAAATAAACGTAGATATGTATACGCATTTACTCATTTTTTAGTATTGTACATTACAAATGTGTGATTATCAAAGCTTTACTGAAAATTATTCAAAATTTCAAAAAAATATATAAAGGTTCAAAAGGTTACAAATCGATGTTATAGGGTTAATGTTAATGTTCAAAGTGAAAAAGTAAAACATGTTGCCTTAATTGGGTGAAATTATGAATATAAATAATAATATAATGGAGAAAGTTTTTCACTTATTTCTTTGAGTTTGAAATCATTGTCATAATATAAGTAATTTGTTATTAAATGGCTGTAACAAGAAAAAAGAAAAAAGAAGATATTTAAAGAGTTACTTCTAATAAATTATTGTATATTTTGCGAAAATGTTCAATTTTTTACAAAAAGCTGTATAAAATCAAAAGAAATCATTAACAGAATTTTTTTCTTCATAAGCATATATAAAGATATTAATCTAACTTAAGGTTCATATTAATCGGGTATTACTGGTATAAAGTGTAATCATTATTATCTAAATATGTATATTCTGTGAAACGGCTAATTTCAGAAACTACACGTCCGATAATATCAACTTTTTTTATTGTTTTATAGACAATTCTCCATTGATGGTTTTTAGCTTTTTATTTTCCAATATTTAACATAATAAATTTGCAAATATTAACTATTCACTGCTCGCATTAATTTGAGAACCCCTGGCTTAATATGGTAACCTATGACACATAAATTTGTAAAATACTTTTTTTTATTTTTGTTTTTTGTTTTTCATTAAAAATATAAGAAAAAATTCAAAACTCGAGCGAAGCTGAATGGAATAGCTATCATTCAAATTTAAAAATATCAAAAGAGATTTACACAGGCTATTTCTTTCTATTCTTTGATTTTAAAGATAGGCTCACATAGGGATTTATTCTTTGCCAACGGAAATTCAGAATATTTGTATAGGGTTACCATTGATTACAAACAGTTTTATCGTTGTTAAAAGCTATTGATATATATATAGACGAGAATGTGACGTGAACGAGTACGATTACGGGTAGGCGCGGATCTAGAAATTAAAAAAAAAAGGGGGCTAGTAAAGTGAGTTATTGCCATAATTCGTTGCGCATGTCGATTTGTACGAAGTCTTTCTTATGTCTAATTTTTGAAATATTTTAAGTACTTACGTTTGATATGGTTCTACCTCATAGGTGGACATTTGGTTGAATTTAATTTTTTTTTTTGGTGGGGGGCTATAATAATTCAATGTAAAATAACCCGCAGGGCTTCGCCCCCACACCCTCTTTCCATGCACAAGTAAAATTTATTACTATTAAAAATATAGATGTGTTAAAATTGTATTAAAAGAATACTAAATAACGTATATTTAAAAATAAATAATATTTTATTTTTATGATAAATATCTATTTGAATCAGCAAAGATATTCAAAATAGCATTCCTTTTTATATTTTTTGATATATATAATATTGAAAAATCGCTGAACCTATCATGAATCAACGATGTCCCTAGTCAAATTTTTATTTTTTTCATTGCACTGAAACTTCTTTCGCAAGTAGTCGAACTAATTGGTATTGTTAATGCTATTGTAAATAGATTTTTATTATTTCTTATTTTACGATTTTCAAAAAAATGAACACATAATTATAAAAACAACGAATAACATTTCTAATAAAGTTTCGATTTTGGGGGACTGTTAAAATATTTGGGGGGGCTAAGACCTCCCTCCCCCAAATGTCCGCCTATGTTTAACCTTAGGCCTAAGCTCCCCCTGTATTCGTGCCTGATTACGAGGAATTTACATAAAAATATTTTACACGCGTGCAAAACCGAGTAATTCAATTACCTAATAAATCTATTTAACATTGCAAAATTTTGCATCTACGAGTTCACTAAGATGCCCCTTAGCTTATTTTAGTTTTTAGAGCAATAGGCCATTTATCGAGTGGTAGTCAATGGAAACCGAAAATTGTAGTGGTAGTGAATTAACGGAAAAGATCCAATAAATTAAATTAAACATTCCTCTATTTTTTTCTTAGAAAATTTAATAGACAAAACATTGAGTGATTTGGAGATGAATAACCCTTCTAATGACTTGGCGATAAACGACTATCTAGTGACTTGGAGATGGGTGAATCTTACAGTTTTGTGGAAATAGATGTTGGGCCTACATCATTCCAACGAATAAGAGGATATAAGAACATTTTACTCCAAAACTAGTTTGTGCACTAGACCAGTGTTTCCTAACTTCTTTTACCCGCGGAACCTTTGTAGGAGTTTGAACGTTTTGTGGAACCCCAATATTTTTTCTATAATTTTAATACAGGCAAATGTTTGGTACACTTAAATGAGTGGGTTATCGGACACTTCCGGCACAAGAGTGTCATTAATATAAAAAAAAAAAAGATGGCTTTAACATTTTATTTTGTTTACTACTATTACAATATTATAAATGTAATATTAAAGCTTAAAATTTAATATTTGTCTCTCATTACCTCTAAGATAGATTCAATGAGAAGATTGGAATATTTTCATAGTTTTTTTTTCATAATTGTTTTTAAATCTGGAGTTATTCCTGAAATGAGATTCGTAAGTCCGAAGCCGCGTTCAGTTGATTTTGAAACTTATTCTTTGCCTTTGTATACGCCGAAAAGCTACAAACTATGCACCTCATATCGGGAAATGTGTCACTTCCAGTTCTATGTTCAAATCATAGTCCAAATCAAAACATTGCTAATTAATTTATATTTTCTTAAATTTCTCACGGAACCTTTCGCGCAAGCTCACGGAACCCTTAGGTTCCGCGGAACACCAGTTGGGAAACACTGCACTAGACAACTGTATAGTGTTAGATGGACGATTCATAATATGATGGCTGTAATAGAAACTCTAGAAAAAGACGTGGAGGATTTTGTTATTATTAGAACATCAATTCAACGTTGTCAACAGATTTTGCGTAAGGAGATAGAGTTTTATTTAAGATAATTTTTAAGAGAGTGATCTTCAAGTTGTTCTACACTGGGACGGCACACTAATTCCTAATTTGGTCGGAAACTATTTTATTGATAGTAATTTCGAGTGATACTATAGAAAAAATTCTTAATATTCCTTTTTTTTACAAAATGCAACAACAAATGGCAAACAGGCAGAAGTTATTAATAAAACTTTAACTGAACGGAATATTCAAAATTCAGTTTAAGCTCTGTTATTTGATACAACTACAGTTAATAGTGGCCGATTGGGTGGTACGTGTGTATTGTTAGAACGACTTTTAGAAAAAAAAATATTTTATTTACTGTGCAGACATAATATTCATGAAATTATTTTAACAAGTATTTTTGAAAAAAAAATTAAGTAAATCATCTAGGAAAGACGTTCCTATTTTCAAACAATTTCAGTACTCTTGGGATAAATTAAACATTGATAATTTATCTCCAGGTATTTTAGACAAAGAATAAGTGGGCATTAATTCACAGACAACGGTAAAGTTAAGGTTAATAATGTCAATAATTAAGTAAATATCAAATTTTATCAATTGTTCTCCCCGGTACCGATTTGTGTGGACCTGTGTTCACTCGTTTTTTATAAGGAAACATTGAAATCGACGAGTCGAAAATCGGTACAGCATTCGAATTATCGAATTTAACGCCGACTGCATCATCGGACCAATTAATTTGCCGGTCTGATCTATGTGTCACTAACACAATTACATTGCGTCTGACACGGCACCGATTCCGGTTCCAATTTCGTCGGCATGTGTGAAAACGGCCTAGTGCCCTTAATGGCAAAAATCTGTTTTCTAATTAGATTATATTTATTAATTATGAATTTTAGATACACATCAATTACCTATTTATGTTTTATAATTTAAGGCACTTAAAAGCTGGACTAAATATTATTTTTACGATAATTTAAAACTTATTGGCACTGTGATAAATCAATCTCTTTTAATCGTTTTTTACATATGTACGTAATTGTATACACCTGTTCTGTTGACCAATGCAACTTCTGTATTTTAAAACGGTTTCTAAATCTATTTCTATTTATAATTCATTCATAATACTATCTACATTCTACGAAATCACTAATTACCTGAAACGGCAGAAACGTTGCACTGAAAAAAATTTCTCGTTTTATCGGTAATTTATTTATTAAAACGTATGGAACTCAGAATTTTGAACAATGATATACCAGATCGATTTTAAAGTAATATATTTATAAAATATGTAGGTACTTTTATTTGATAAATGGTAAAACATGCGAAGAATAAAATTAAGATTAATACATTTGTAGTAATATAATGTATTGGTTTAATGCGTAACAAACTTAAATAATACTAAAGTATTAAAATTTTAATTTTTATCTAAAGAAAAAACAAGAATCCTAGAATAATCTTAAACACAACTAAATGAAAACTGAGAAAATAATTACTAATTACTGTTTTAATCTATACCTTACATTTAAAATATGTTTGGTTTATTGCTGATCTATTATGTAATAGATTATTGATTGATTTATTTATTGATGCAAGTTTAGGTAAATTATTATTATGTTCTGAGCGACTGTTGGCAGTAATGGGACCTTGCGGACGACTATGTCGTATACAAACGTTGACCTTCCTTTGGTCGAAGTACCGTTTACAAATAATTTTTTTTTTCTAGAAATATTTACAATCTGTAATAGATAGAATAAACAACGATTAAATAAAGCGGTTTGCATACAATAACCGATATCAACGCGGTAGGGTGGGATGTCCAGTGGCATTGTTTCTAACCTTGAAACAGTTTTTGCATTCACTTTTTGTTTTCTGCGGCGAATGCCAGAAGCGTTTTCACTGCTCCCCCGGGAAACATTAGACGCGTTATTGCAACTAATACGCACGGTGGTACGGCAAATCGTTTCGCACGTTCTCGGAACGTCGTATTACTCACGACTCCCATGAAAGCCGTAAGAAAAAACCCGTTGTAAATTCTGTTTTGTAATCACAACCGACGTCATAACTATGGTTTACGTCGCGATGGGTTTTTCGACGGTGTCCGTTCCAAGAATTTTTCACATGAGGCAATATGTGCGTAATACTACGCCGCACTTGAGGAGGTATAAATACGTTTTTTGTTCCGTGGTACGGGAACGATATCGCGCGAATCTATTGCATGGCTGTGCGCGTACGTTTACAAACGGTCAGCGTTATTTGCACCCGTGGTCTTCGACCGGTAGGTCGCGAATCAATTTTGGGTAGCTTAAGCTTTTTTAAGATTGGTTCGCTATCAACCCAATTTTCCTATTAAATTTCTATTGTTAAAAAATGTACAAAAATTCATGTTCATATATATTATATTATGTATACCACAGCCCAGGGCTTATTTTAAGGTTTTTTTAGAACTGCGTAAAACTTAAAACTTAATCCCCTCCCCGTACTTTCAACAATATTACTCCCTGTGTATCATTATAAGTACCGTTGTGGTTGCAATAATATTGTTATAATAAAATAGTAATAATAATAATGACACAGTAAACCTAATCTGGTGATTGACGGCCCTCTACCTGCACTTGATAACTACATTATTGTGAGAAATTGTATTTATAGGTAGCAGTGGCGTAGTCAAGGGGGGGGGGCTAAGGAGCTATAGCCCCCCATGGGCCGTGTTTATATATATAATGTATCTATGTACTAAACTAGTATACTACTATTTTTAGTTAAGTATTTTAAACCTATGGTGTTAACTAAATTTGACGATTAACGAATAACAGGTGGAGGGGTTAAGGGTGAATTCTTATATCCTCCCTTACCTTACTTTTCCAAAAAATTGATTAGCCCCTCCCATTTAAAAATCCTGGCTACGCCACTGATAGGTAGTATTTTCAACTGCGCATTTTTCATTTAGAGTTACTCAAAATGTGTTCAAACGCTCGTTAAAATAAGTCCTACCACAGCTCTTCATATTCATAAAAATGCGTACTACACATTTTTTTTATTATACAATGATTTGATACAGAGCCTCCTTCTACCCCAAATCTATATGATTATAATTTTTAGTAAAAGTTCTTTTTTATTAATCAAATTGCACATTATAATTAGGTAACTACCAATTTGTTATTATTTTTTAAACAGAAAATACACTTATATTTGGTATAAATCTGAAAACTTATTTATTTTACTTAAATTTAAAATTTAATATATAAGGGTATTCAAGTCCTCATTAGTTGTCTTGCTTAAGCTGGCTTCCTGAAAAACATCTTTATAGTAGTCTTATTAGCATTTAATAGGTACATGCTTCTCGAATCCGTAGTACACATTTCCAATTTTGGACTACACATTTTGTGTCGAGGTTCACTAAAAAATAGAAGCTGGTAGGTGCATACTACGAAATAAACGATAGATAAATCTTTTGACCACACTAGCACTAGTGTTCTGACAGTAATGTAAATAACACAGTGTAAGTAATATAAATATTAATAGTAAATTGTAATTTTATACCTAACATGTGTAATATGTAACATCTAATGACTAATAACTTTTGCTTTTGAAGATTAATAAATAAATGAAAACAAATAAAAATAAATGAACAACAATTGAGGTAGGTAATGATATATTGATAGCCTGACTTTTAATTCATATTAAAATATGAAGCCTTTATGAACTACGTATAATGTACGTTTATGTCAGCAATTCATTTTAAACTGAAACTTTTGAAACTAATTTATTCATTAAATGTACGAGTATCAAAAAGATAAGAAAAGAAAATATAATATAATTCGGGTTCTATTTTTAATTTTATTTATATTTTCCATTTCGATTTTTGATAGATTCTAATAGAATGTTGTATAATATGCCCTATAAAATAGAAATATGCATAAATATGCCAAATATATAAAAACATGCTAAATAAGCAAAAACATGCAAAATAAGATTTCAAATATTTAACCGTGATACCTTGAAATGGATTTCTAGATCATCTAGAATTAAATACAACTTTGTAAGATTGATATGCAAATGCATGAACTTACGAGCCCTGATTAAGATACTAATACAGAATTTGGAAAAGTAATCACAGAAACCACCTTGCACAGAGTATATGAAATTTCATTTATTCTGTGATACTAATATTAATGTTTATTATCATAATAATACAGTTGTGATATGGCTCACCCGGATTTATAGCGAATCTAGCGGTTAACTCTTGAAATATTTACAAAGCTGGGACCAGTGAACTCTGTATATCATATACATATAACATATTGGCCTAGACCACGGATATATATATAATTATATAGTGTACAACTACTAGTTGTATATATCCATGACCTAGGCATATTAATATGTATATGCATAATATTATAATAAGACTGTGCCCAATATTATATAGTTGAGAATACTGTTTTTTATTTATGGTACTGATAACCGTTTATATTTAATGTTATCAGTATTTATACATTTTAAATTTTTATTTTTTGCAGTTTTCGGTCATAGTACAGAAACACGACGCTACGCGGCGGGCCCCAAGTAACCGTTTACCCCTGTCGCATGCGCCAACCACCCGTTCTTTTTCTTTTTTAATTTTTTTTTATCTGTTCTCTATTCCGAATTGCTCTACTATTGCGTCTTTCAAGTATGCAGTGCATATGCAGTAGTGCTCTAAATAATACATCGGTGTCGTTGTCCGTTTTCAGCGATAACAGCCAACTGTGGAAATAATATTCATACAGTTGGACTCCTAATTCCTGCAAATAAGTGGCCGCTCGCAACTCACCAACGGTTAGTCCGATCACACTCACGGCTTTTGCGCCGGACACGATGCCATTAGAATGAAATGATGATTGAACAACGGCGGTGGATGTTTCGGTTCTGATTTCGTTGTAAAAAGCCTGGGCTGGTGACTAATCGCCACGAATCACTGATAAAGAAATTGTGTACTCACTTCGTTGCAATGGAAGGCGATTTTATTAGGCCTCTGTTCGTTCCTATTGAACGACATTGTGCACTGTAATACAGTTTAATCGTTTTTTTTCCTCGAATCAAGTAAATTTTTATCACCTCTCCAATTGTCAAACACTTTCAATATGGAATTTGTCGATTCCCAGGACGTAAAAGACTTATTGTTGTAAGTAAAATCATAACCACACAATTAATAGGTATTTAAATGCTTTTTATTATAAATTAAAAATTTTTCTTATCCATTTAAAAAAAGCCAGTGAATAAATTATTTTAAACCTCGACATTTAATTTTAAATTTTAATTTAACAGAACAAAAATATGTTACGTATTTACCATTAAAAGAAATTGAAATTTCATACTCCATACACTTATATGTTTTTAGTATATGTATAGTGATTTAATATTAATATTTAAAACAACCTTGTTACTACTATTTTCTCAACATAACTAAAAATAAAAACATCAGAAAATTGTATTTTGGTCATTACTTTCAAATTAATAATGTAATATATTATTAGACATTCTTTAAGTAAAACTTGATTAAAATTGATTGGCTACATAAACAATTGTTCAACAAAAAAAAAAAAAGTTAATTAATAATGGTAATTTATGCTGATCTTAAATTTCAGTTTTTGAATATCATTCCTATAATTATGTTATTTTTTTAAAAAAATTTTAAATAAAGAGCTTCATCTTTTATTTCATTTTTATTTCTTTATTACAACATTTGCTTTCAAATTGAACTTTTTTAATGACAAAAAATTAAATAATCTATTATTTTATATCATATTATGACAATTAAATTACTATTGTAATACATTTTTAAAACTACATATAAATAAAGAAGAGTATACACTTTTACATTTATTCCTTATATTATAAGAATAGATAATTATAATATTAATAGAGCTAAATGTATCATAGATATTTTACTGAACATATTAAATTATAATATATATTTATTAATTAAGTTCATTTTTTTAAAAAAAAGTATTAATGGTATATATTTTTGACCATTTTTATAGATATAAAATTATTTATACAATAATAATGTGATTTATTGTGTACTAATATTTATGTAACTAATTATTAAATTTATCTTAAAAATAAACATAATGCATTATACTAATATTAGTACAATCCAAATCATATATTGTAACAGTTTATGTAAATATAACTAATTATATATGTAGATAGTATACAAGTAATAATAATTATAGTTGATATATTTATACAACAAACAATTATTTTTTTATTTTTTCATATAGTTAACAGGAAAATAGTGATCCGAGTATAAAATTTAATACGAAAAATATTTGTGGCAATATATATATATATATATATATATATATATATATACCAAGTCTATGGTTCAATGTTCGGGAATGTATTGATTTTAACATTCCTACTTCCTTTTGTAATATGTGAAGGGTTATTAAATACCAAAATAATTGTATGAACTTTTGGTGAATGTCCTTCATAAACTATTTAAAAAATTGAATACAAAAAATAATGATATTTTGTATAATAGATTATTATACATTTAATAAAATATATAATAAATTAATGTTTATGACAGTTTTTAGTTAAAAATTTATTTTATTTTTTTTATTTTAAATTATCAAGCCAACATATTCTTAATTTTACAATGCTTATTTATACGGCTATTATTTACTATATAAAATAAATGTTTTTCATTATTTTAAAATAACTAATTAACAAACAATTAAATTAACCATTTATTCAAATGTTTATGATTTTAAGGTTTTTAATAATCATTATTACTTTTTGGCTAGATTATCTTATGTTCATCTTTATTAAATGTAAAGTATGTGTTACCAGCATTTCTAGTATATTTTCTAATAATTAGTAATATTTCCAATATGAGTGATAAATACTGATGCAGCCCCGTATAGTAATTGTTATTTAAATGACTACATGGCCACCAGAATATATTCTTAATTCTGATCAGGCATATATAATGACTAGGGAATGTGTATATTATGTAATTTAACTAGCAATATCAGTAATTTTATAAAATGCCTAGTCAGAATTATATATACTACCGGTATCATATGCATAGTATTATATATAATGAATAAATCAATGTATAGACACATTCATGTCTATACATTTGTTTAGTTAAGGTTGATAAAAAATTCAAATTATACAAAATTAAAAATTATTTCGATTAATAATGTAAATGTTGTGATTATACATTTTCTTTTATTTTAAATTAAATTGTAAATTTTTTTTTCAGCTTACTAAATAATACACACACAAATGCAAAACAGTTGTACAACATGATGATTTCAAATAAGACTGTTATTAATAAGAATGATTCTGAAGAAGACTTAATGAACAATATGTATAATGCTTTATTTCAATGTTTTGGGATTATTATTACAGGGTAATATACATTATACTACTATAAATGCTTATGGATTCTCTATTTTTATATCTAATATTTAGATTCTTGTTTATATTAATATGATTGTTGTTGTTGTTATTTTAGGTATTTATCAGGACGATTAGGCTTAGTTAGTCATGCTGCTAGTATTGGTTTGAATAGATTTGTGGGGACATTTGCTTTGCCTTCACTTATATTTGTTAATATGGCTGTGTTAGATTTATCATCTGTCAACTTGGTTTTTTTGGGATCATTACTTGTATCAAAAACTTTAGTATTTGTTTCGGTCGCATTAATCACTGTGTTAGTAACAAGACCTCCAGATATTGCAAGAGCAGCTCTATTTGCTATATTCTGCACTCAAAGCAATGATTTTGCCATTGGAGCACCAATATGTAAGTCGAAATAAAAAAACCTGTGAATTTTAATAATTTATGAAAAGTATGTATTTATGTATAATTTTATTTTTTTTAGTTGAAGCTCTCTATCGGCATCACCATAAGGATTTTGTTAACTACCTTTACCTTGTAGCACCTATTAATCTAATAATCTTAAATCCGTTTGGTTTTGCAATGATGGAACTGGGCCAAGAATATGATCGTCATGAAACTACAAGGCGTTCAGCATTAATGGGACGAATATCAAGAAATATTATTTGTAATCCTATTGTGTTTATGACCGCTCTAGGAATGTTGGCAAATTTAGTATTTAATCATGACCCACCAAAAATTATCACAACTTTCTTGGGAGTAAGAATAATTTATTTGGGTAGAAAATTGTGTACTAAGCTATTGATTTTTAGACTTTTGGGAATGCATTTACTGCTACAGCATTGTTCTTACTTGGTTTAAGAATGGTTGGAAACGTCAATAAACTTAGAGGAGAAGCTTTAATTTTACCATTACTTCTTATTTCAGCTAAATTGTAAGAAACACCTTAAATATAATTTATGATGAGTAATTTTTCAACTCATATTCATAAAAAAAATATTGTATTTTACAGGATAGTTTTACCATTAGTTATTAGAGAAATAACAAGTATTTGTTTAGGAAAATTTGGTTCTTTGAGTGCTCATGATAGTCTTGACCTCTCCATGTTTGGGTTTTTGTATGGAATGATTCCTTCTGCACCAGCGGTTTTTGTTTATGCATCGGCATACAATCTTGAAATGGATCTGGTTTGTATAATTTATATTTATTTTATTTTAAAATATTGTTAAAATAATTATTACTTAATAGTTTTTTTAATATTCTTATTTTACAGATAGCAAGTTCAATGGTATTATGTGTATTTTTTTCAGCTCCAATAATGTTTTTAACGGCAAAGATAATATCTGTTGCCAAAGTAGATCCATCAAACAATATAACTGCTTTAAAAGCCTATCAATTCAATGTCAGTATATTGGCTATCCCTGCATCTGTAAGTTATATTATTATTTTACTGTCTATATTTCATAATATTATATTAACTATATTTTTTTTACAGTTATGGATTATTTTAGTTATGTTAAAAAAATTAAAAAGTTTTCCATTCAAAGTAGTTTTCTGCTTAGTGATTTCACAAGTAATTTTATCTTTAACTTTATATTTTTAGCCATGATGGTTGTTAATTAATAATTGTTGTAGGTTATTTCATGCACTGGGATATTACTAGAGTATTTATCTGAAACACCACAATCACATCCATTAACATACATACAATTAATGTTGAGTATTGGTGGTGATATAAGTTGTTACATTTGGACTGGATGTTTAGCTTTTACCTTGCTAATAATGCATAAACCATTTACAGATGAATTTCAAAATAAAATTCTTTATTTCTACATGATACTATCCTGGGGGTAATTATTATTGAAAAATAATTGTGGTCTTATTTTTTAATACAAAATTGAATTTCATAAACTTTTAGTGTACCAATTTTATTGGTTTCTGTATTGATGTTGACTTGTCAACCGCCATTATTTGGTAAATCGGATTTTGATCAAAATTATGTTTATGGAATTCCAGAAGCTGCTATACTCACAATAATTCTCCTTTCATCAATACTATGTAAACATTTTTGTAATCTTATAAATATACATGGCTCATATTTTATAATTATTTTTAATATTTTAATTGTTCTAGGTACAATAGTTTGTTTGGTTTTACATCAACGTCAAAGACATAAATTAAATAGGCAAATAGTGTATTCAAAATCTGTAAATGATGATGGACAAAGTACATCCAAACAATCGTAAGTTAAAATAAAGTTAAGTTGTTACTATTTATTATTTATTATATCTTGAAAATTTGTTTACAAGATATTATTATTAACTTGCTTAGTAAGGTTTTTAGTAAGACTAAAGTCTATATTTTTTAAGTATATTTACTATTTTATTCGTTTATTTTGTATATAGTGTGGATTCTCATATTATTGATACAGAAGATTTAAAAGGTCTGCTTTATGAAAATGAAACAAATATAATAGCAAATAATGAATATATTAAGCACTTTTTACTACTTGTATTGCAAGCTGTTGCTATGTTTGTTGTAAGTTAATTTAATTTTATAAGATTATACGATGTACATAATTCAAATTTAAATTATAAATTGTAATAATTGTAGACCTTTTCTGTGGCTATTTGGAGAATATTTGGTGAGACAAATGGATTGTACCTTGAATTAGCTTATTGTGAAACTTCTCTCATGAGAGGACAGTCAATATTTGCATTATTGATTTATGGTATTAACTATCATTCAATCAATATGCCAATTGTTAGAGCGTAAGTAAATTTTTACTCTATCATATATTCTTATATCATTATTATGTTTGTATTTAGATGGAACAAATTTTGGTGGGGAGGATCTCCTATTGAATGTCCATCTTGGGAAGAACTTCCTTATGATACTAGAAAAACATGTGATAATTTTGTGTTTAAGTATAGAGAAAAGTGTCTAGCAGAGATCACTCATCTTACTAGGTATGGAAGATTGAATATACTTTTTTGATTTGAAACAAATTTACTACTAAATCAAACTTTGGAATATTTTGTTATAGATGGAAGTTGTGGAAGTATAAAAAAACATTTACTGGCTCCGAATTAATAACATGGTTAATAGAAAACAATATATGTGCCAATCGTGATGATGCATTAGGATACGCTGTAAAATTGTGGAATGGCCAAGTACTGAGACATTTAAATTGTACGGAACATTTCCAAGATGTTTCAAATATATTATACACATTTAATCGTCGTTAATAATAATACTTTAGTATTATATTTCGGTGGTTTAAAATTAACCTTCGTACATTATTGTTGTGATAATTGACTATTAAGAGTGAGAATATTTTAATAATAATTTTATATGCTTACCTATTTGTTAATTTGCTTCAAAGTTAGATATATGTTAATTTTATATATGCCTATTATTTTTTTTCTCGGAAATCCAAATTGATTATAATATGATTACAATTTTGTTATTATTACTTTTATTTATTTGATTATTGAGTAGCTTAAAATATGATTTCCTATATTATGTGTAACAAATAACCATGTTATATACTTTTATTTATTATATTTTAAAATAAATGTATAAAATTATAAATTTTTAGCATTTGAACTTATTTTAATTATAAATTTGGTATATTGTAATAATTTTAGTTATATTTTAGCCCTTTAAAGATTGGTAATAAATCTACTATAAAATAATTAAAGTTAATGGTACTTTTCGTACAACAATAATAATGATTAAAATTTTATTTTTACCGTTTTCTTCTTAGATATCTAATCATGGATTAAATATGTATAATAAAATTGTATATTTAATTAATGGTCTAATAATTTAAACTTTGTTAATAAATTCTGGAACATAAAAGCATTCTTTTTTTCTCTGAGGAAAAGTAGAGCATGGTTTCGATTATCAATAAAAAAAGGAAAATTGACAGAAGTGTCAATTTCAAACATTGAAAAAAATGTAACCACCTATATAAAAAATTTAAAAATGAATATTTGTATGTAATATATTAATATATATAAGATATTAATATATCATAGATGAGAGATTAATATCTTATATCTAAAAAAAGTTAAATGTTCAGAAAATACCAAAACATGTTTACGAAATAAAATTATATTACTTATAAAAAATATTTAATTTTTTTTTTGTGATATGACTTATTCATAATGCATTACTATCTATAATATTTAACTACTAAAATTTTAAATTATGAGACATTTTGCTTATTTAAAAATCAGAGTTATGAAAAAATTACTATTAAGTCTCTAACCTCATTAAAATTAATAATAAGATATTAATTTATTAAAAGATGCATTATTTTTTCCTGCTTTTGTTTTATGTATGAATTGCAAAATCAATTTTCTTTGACATTCGAGGTATTGATCGTCAACCAACGGTATATATTTATTTATAGTGAAATAGCTATAATTAATGTTATAATGTTAAAATTAATGCTATAATTTCTGTTTTAGCAGCACAATTTCATAAAAGGATTATATTATTTTAATATAGTTTTAATAATATATACAGTTTTTTTTTCTAGTTGGATACTTGTTATTTTATATATTTGATGAATTACCTGGCTTGGACAAAATACTTATAATCATAGAAACCTAGCAATGGTACAGCATAGCTTGTCAACTTTTATACATATTCGTAAAAGTTTCTTATTACTACCATTGATTATAAATACTCTAATAATATATAATCAATGCTACTACCATGGTTTTTGTTGATTGTACGATTTGTATTTTTGAACTGTACTTTTTCCGTAGGGACATTCTTAGATTTTTAATCAAATTCCTCTTTATATAAATTTTAATGTTCAATATTCAGCAAAAATATTAACTACTAATTACGTAACAGCTATGCAGTATTTGCTTACTAAAACACCTATTGTAATTTGTAATTGAAAAAGCTAAGTTTTGCTATATAAAAATACCATGAAAACTCAGTTCAGTAGCTCAATGTTCTCATGTAGCGAGATGAAATCCAGTAGGTACTGAATAATCAAATCATATGTTTAAATATTACCATAATTATTTCATGACCTCAACAAACAGCTTATAGATTCAAATCACCTATAAGGTGTTAATAATTTATTCAATATTTATTGGATGGATAAATTATTATATAGTGTGACTTGTGTTATAATTAAAAGGTAACTCAAAGTATTTTATCCGGATGGTATACAATTTGAACAGGCTTTTTTTTTTTTATACTTTAAAAAATTCAAATAAAAAAAAAAAAAAACAGTTTGTGTTTCAATATAAAAACAAAATAATTTGATAAATAATTTTAATTTATTATACACAATTCTGTGTTCAGTTAAGTTTTTGAAACCATCAATAATGTCTTCTGAATTTAAATTTACAGCCATTTTTTTGCTCCGTGATTAAACGCGTTAAGCTATAATTAATCATAATCTCTATTGAAGCCTAGCATGTACGGTGCCAAGGGAGGATGCTCTAGCCCAGGGGTCTTCAACCCGCGGCCCACCCTGTCATAATATGCGGTCCGCGATCACATTTTAAATGTTTTCACATTAAAAATAAAATAAAAAATTTGTAATTAAAAAAAAATGTTTATTTATTTATGTTTTAATAATAAAAATAATTTGTAATTTTAAATGTACCTACCCACCTAATTTTAAAAATTGTAAGAATAAAACTGAATTTTTATACAAAATACATGATTTTACTACGAATGGTCCGCAAGGTTTAAAAAAAATATGTGGCCCGCTACATAAAAAGGTTGAAGATCCCTGCTCTAGCCCACCCCAGAAAACAATTCAGCCCTCTCGAGCCCCCCACTTAAAAATATGCATGATATAATAAAGTCATAAAACATTATTTATAAAAGATTAATATCTATCTACATTAAAGAATTTATGAAATATATTATTTAAAAAAGTATATTTTTTTATATTATTTTTATAAACAAGGCTCTGTGTTCAGGGTAGCAGCTTCATACCCTGTATACGCCCTGCGCAGGCGCGGATCTAGAAATGAAAAAAAAAGAGAGGCTAGTAAAGTGAGTTACTGCCATAATTTGTTGCGCTTGTCGATTTGTACAAAATCTTTCTTATGTCTAATATTTTAAATATTTTATCTACCTGCGTCCGATTTGGTTATACCTAATCTCTATGGATGAGGAGTTTAAATCCCTATAGCCCCCCTCCCTCTTGTATCCGCGACTGCTCCCGTGCACGCTCTTAACTTTTCCCTTTCCCCAGACATTTAAATAGTCCTCCAAAACCGAAACCTATTAAAATATTATCATTATTTATTTTACTTTTGTTATTCTAACCCCTTCCTTAAAATGCCCTCCAAATATCTGTGCTTTATATTTTGATGCTTTCATATAATTGATCCCGATCGATCAAATTCAGATTTCAATTTTTGTTAACTTACATACTTACGTTCGGGTTTTTAAAATAATAATTGGTGATTTAATAAATAAACTTGCGATTTTAAATTAGAGCCATACTGCAATTATGGTCGATAAAGTTAAAGTTAAAAATAAATAAATAAGGCATAAATAAGTTAAAAAAATAGGCATTTAGTTTTATAACTGTAAAATATGAAATATCCATTTTAGTCACTGGAACTGGTGGGCTTTCGAAAGTGCGCCCACGAGCTATTAGTCTTTCCTACGGCCACACCCTTAAACTGGACTTTAATTGATAAAGTTCACTCAATAATGTATAATGTACACAATAATGTATAATATACTTATATTATAAGGCATGGGTATTTGGAATAATTTTAGTTTCAATAAGTAGTACAAAGATACAAAAGAATACAAAGTAGATAAAAACAAACCTAAAAATGTTTTATTGCAAAAATAATACTAAATTAATTGTTATAAATTACATAAAAGTTAAAAAAAAGTTAAAAATCGGATTATCGTTTTCTGATGATAAAGCAAGTACATAACACAAAATAAATTGGTTTTTTTGGCAACGATAATTACAAGCATTTAATTTATCAATTTACATGAAAAAAAAAAAAATGTACGGTCGATATTTATAGATAATGTATGTAAAATAAACATAAGAGAAGGAATTTCAATTTAACACGTAGGTATTTATAAAATCGAATACAAACCCAGATTTAAAAACGAAAATATTTAGTTGAACTAAAAATGACGTAGGTCGTTTATTTTTTTTTTTTTAAAATCGATTGAATTGTTTGGTGAGTGGTTATGAACATTTTCGATTTTAAAACAGCAATAATTAATTATTCGTAAGTACTGTGTTAGGTGCGAATCAATTATCCGTTGATTTCATGTGAATAATTGTTTTTTCAAATAATAATAATGATATTATGATAATCATTTTTAGGTAGTGTGTTTTTCACAAACACACACTCATGCAAACAAATATAGATAACCCGTATTCGACAATGTCGCGTTATTATTTTGTCCGTGTACAAAAGTATTGAGAGAGAAAAATTATGAAATGGGAGACAACGTGATATCATACATCTGAGGCAGCTTCTATGATGTGCAGTAGCAAAAATAATAAAAAATAAACCCTGTAATCATGGGCGTAGCTAAAATTTGAATCAGGGAGGGGCAAAAACATAAAATGATTAGTTTAACACGTAATTCAAATAATCTAGAGATAGACCATTGGATAACACATAAAACGTCAAAACGATTACACGTGTAGATATCACTTGGTCCCACTTAACTATTTTTAGAATTATATCTTATTTAATTTTTGATTTTAATGTAAAACTTACACGTTTGGTATAAACAAATATAATTCAGTTTGAGGCTCAGGGGTGGGCAAGTGCCCTCTCCCCCCTTGCTCCACCCTCGCTACACCCATGCCTGTAATATTTAATAATAAGTTTGGTTAAAAACCAGATTTAAGAGTAGCAGTTTTTGATATCAAACCTAACGTAAACTATAGTTTCCAAATTTCGAGCACAAGTTTCTCATTAAAACAAGAAAATTGTTAACGCGCATTTCCATATCGTTTATTTTTTTTACACTTTTTATGTTCGTATTCAAAACATTTTCATGTTCTATTATTTATTTTCGTAGGGTTCGCATAAGAAAAAAAAAAAATAACAAAAAATCGGGGATGGCGATTCGAAAAAGGTTGAAAACCACTGGTCACTTTCCACCACGCAGTTGACCCAATTCCGTTTATCGGCAGGCCGTCCACGTCGGAGTGACAGGTAAAACGAAATAGTCGAGCGTCTCGAAATACACTCGAGTGATTTGTATACAAACACGACGGACGGGCGATGGCGTCACTTGCACGCGCGCGACACGTCCGTCGGCCGTCGAGTGCGCCGGTTGGCCTCGAGTCGGTGACAGACGCGTGGACATCGTTCGTCGACGCTACGCGGGCTTCGGCGTCATCAACGGCACGATCGAGCACGATCCCCCGCTACCGACGGACCGCGACGCGGCGGCGGGTAATCGTTCCGGCGACGACCATTCGCTCCTGTGTGGGCGGCGGCGGCGGCCGATCGGTCCGGTGTTGTGCACGCACTGTCGCGCCGTTAGGTTGGCAGTGCCGACGGGTCGGGCCGATAGAAACGTAAAAAAAGGGAAAAAAAAGAAAACAAAAATAATCATCGGGTGCCCCCTCCCTGCCCCACTGCTGCCACCACCCTTCGCCCGACCTGTCATTTCATTTGTGTTGTGATTTTCGTCCGGACCGCAGTATTCCGCTCGCGCGCCCGTTCAATTTATTTTTATGTGATACCCTGAGAAATAATCGGTAAATTTTCGTCCGCCGACGTTTTACGTTCGTATTATGGACGATAAAACGTCCCTGAAGGAACTAGACCAATGGATTGAGCAACTGAACGAGTGCAAACAGTTGACCGAGAGCCAAGTGAAGTTCCTGTGCGACAAGGTAAATATCTCGGCGGCGCCCTGCCGATACGACGGCGTCGCGCGCACTGGGTTCGGCCATATTGTTTATGTCCTCCGCCGTGGCTGTCGGCTCTCCGAGCCGGCCGGTTTACCGACTGTCGTGTGATTCGACCACCGGGACGCCTTGCTCCCGGCTCGACCTTTGCGGACGCGCTTACTTCGTTGCTAGTCGACCACGTGACCCGGGTTTCGTTCTTTGGAATCGTCCTACGCGCACTGGCCACCTAAATGCCAGCGGCCTTTTCCACTGCCGTTGCCGCCGTCGCCTTTGGGCCACTGTCCGTCCCCTCGACCGATGGCCTTCTGTTTACGTGACTAACCGTTATTCTACCCGTCGTCTAGGTCTATCAAGTTACATTTCCATTTTTATTGCGCACTTCTCAGGCTTCTCCGCGATTTCTACTGATAACAGGATTAGTACCGAATTCTGTATTTGTGCCATGGATTGTCGTATTTAGGCTTTCGGGAGTCGTGGCCTTGAATTCCCCTGCTAGTTTGTTTTCGTTTAGTATAGGGTTGTCTTATTTCTCAACCAGTAACATAATGTTCTGTTTGACTGTGTTTTCGTTATGTTGATACTTGCTACACCTTTTGATTTTTCCCTTTTGGCGCCTAAAAGATTTTATTCACAAGCTGATAATTTTCATATGACTTATTCAGTTTTTGGGCATCAGTTGTTTAATTATTATTAGTTATATACTAAATAGTTTTATTTGTCAAAGATTACTTATTAGAGTAGTAGTAGGTAGAAAAATAATTGTACAGTCTAATGCCCAAAATTTAATTCAATTTTATTAATTCTAGTTGACATTGAAATTCTGATCTTTATTAATTTATTTATTCTCTTATAGTCATTAATATTAAAAAGGATATACAAATTGTTTTATTTAATTATATTATATTTTTTATATAGGTAGTATAAAATATAAAAGTTTAGTCCTTGTTAAATCTTGAAATTAGTTCTGGTCTTATTTATCATTTTAATTAGCTACCTACTTCATTGATTATATTTATATGTAATTTTGATTAATAAAAATAATAGCAACAACTTAAAATAGATGCTGTTGGATCTTAATATTAGTTACATGAGTACTTATTTCTTTATAAAGTTATAACAAATAACATTTATGCTATTAAAATATATTTGAAATTGCTGTTGTATCTTTAAAATGGATAGTAATAATTATTTTAGATTCATAATTATTGATATGAATCATTCTACATAGTTTGTCCTTTTATATTGGTGTTAAGAGTATATAGCATTTTTTGATTATATTTGAATATCTGAATATAAAATAAGTTTTTATTTAATTTTATGTTCACAAATCATAAATTAATTGTGTCCAAAGTTTTAGACTTATCAAGAATCCATCATACATCATTGATCAAATGTAACAAAAAAAAAAGTTCCTTATTATTAAAGCTATAAACATACTTAAGCTCTATATATTTACGTTTAATATTTCATTACACTCATTACTTTTCTACTTTATTATTTTAAATCATCAAAACTGAGTTAAATTTATTATTAACAATATTTCATTAATGATTATAATATGATGTCATTTATAGTTACTAAGCTATGTATTATGGTATGCATGTGTATGTGGTATTTATATTATTTTATTTATTAAATTATTTATTTTTTTAACCTAAAACAAGGCCCTAAAATAACTTATTATTGAACCTATGTGTAACTATTTAAGTATCTATAAAATAGATTAATCAATTATTATTAATGTTTCCTTATTATTTTATCTAATGAGTATAAGTACATAATTAGTTATGGACATATTTTATTTTATTAATAATCATTGTTGTGGTTGTGTACTTCAAATTGAATGAGATGTATAATATTTAAAAATTAAAATTTTTCATTAACAATTTATAGAGATACATAAGTATATTATATATGTTAAATGGTTATACAATTACATCTATACTTAATTTAACTATTTATTAGAATTTATACATACATAATTTATATATTTATGTCTTACATTTAAATTATAAAATTTATAAATTAAGTAATAAAATAAAAATAGATAATGGTCTTAATTTTTATTTTCTCATTTATATCTTTATTATTTTTAAATTTTAGGTATATTCTGTTTCCAAATGTTAAAGCTCTTTTTAATAGGTCATAAAGTGAAAGTTTTTTTTTATAAAAATATCCTTATTATTTATTAATTTTTAACTGTAGTCTATAATATTTAATATCATTATTTTTTATCTTAGTTTATCACTTATAATAATATTTTATATATGTTAGCAAATGTTCATATCGATGTTATAAAAAAAATATATATATATGTATAAAAATTCTTTGCATTTGTTTTAAAGCTGTTCTAGTATTTCTACCTATATTGAGATAGGTTATGTTAGTTATAATATGAATTACCTTGCTTAGTAGAAAGTAGTTTTGAATTAAAAAATGATATTAACCATTAACAAGCTTTCAATTTAATTTGTTTTACTGATTTATTATTATTTTTATTATACTATTTAATATTTAAAAGTATCAATATTTTATTCATAGTTTTTAATGTGTCTTGAACTATATCTATATATATTTGTATAATTAACCATAGTAGGTATATAAATATATATTTATTTATTTATTTATTTATTTTTATTGATTTGACAAAATTTGTCTCTTTTTTGATAATTCAATGTGAGAAATAGCTCTTGGTGTTCATTAAATTAATTTAATTAATTTGGATTTCTGATCTATTTTGTTTTTTATTGATTTTTCCTTTTTTAATCATACTATATACTTATAATTATTTGTATTTTGAATGTTTCCTCAAATTACTTTTTGTAACATTGAATGGCAATTGAAAGGAGTTATATTCCAAGTTTTAAGTTATTCAAAATTAAAAGTCACTATTATATACGGCTTTTTAAACAAATAAGTAACTCTTAATAATAGTTTTATGTATGTTATGTTGTTATTATTTTTAATACTTGTTAACAATACTTATTTAAAATTATTTATATTTAACATAACATTGTTAAAAAGATTTCAATTGTTCATTATTAATAGGTATACAATTTTACTTATTCTTATTTAACATAGGTTCAATCAATAGAGCTAAATTATACAGGTGCCATCTCAAGGCAATTTTAAGTGTTTCTATGTTTAACCAAACTTACTACAAATATATATATTTTTAATTATTTTATGTTGAACTATGAAAATTGTAAAGTTATTATGAATTCTGAAGTAAGAATACTTCTTTGTGATTGGGTGCAGTTTTTTTTTTATTTTCTTGTTGATTAGTAGTTATACTGAATGTATTTAAATTTTCAATTTAAATGTTGGTTCAAGAATAAAAATTATAAGCATATCAATTATCATTTGCTACTTTTTTCCATTTTAGCATTATAAATTAAGTAAAAAATTGAAATTGTAATGGACAAATTTATATATATTATTCTGTTAAAAAATATGTATAATGTATCAATTTTTTCATAATGAATCTATATGTTTATACAATCAAATAATTATTTAAAATATGGAAATTCAGGTGTCTATATACGATAACTTATAAATGGTGTTTGATAATAATTATAGTGAGTAATTAGATTGATGAGATAGACTTTTTGTTTTTTCTAACCTTTTTTTCATATGTCAATTTCCTTAAAGTTATTGTTTTTCTTTCATTATTTTGATAGCATTTTAAGAATTGTACAATGACAATAACAAAACAAAATAAATAGTATAAAATCAATATGTGTCATTATTAATGTTTTATTCCACTCATTGTTAGTTAAATAGATTTTTTAGTTTATATTGGTTTAATTTATTCTTTTTACCTATTCTGAATTTTATTTTAAATTATGGCTTTATTTTAATTTGAACCTTTTAAAGTAGTTATTTATATTTATGACTTGTATAAATATTTTAATACTACTTACATAAAAAATGTGTTAGAAACTTTGTAATTATGTCAATAACTATAAATTCTGTATTATTAATATTTTTTGTAAATATCAACAAATCACATTATAATTTTTGAATTTTAGGCAAAAGAAATTTTGACTAAAGAGTCAAATGTACAAGAAGTAAAATGTCCGGTAACAGTATGTGGAGATGTGCACGGGCAGTTCCACGACCTTATGGAACTGTTTCGAATAGGCGGAAAGTCCCCAGACACAAATTACCTGTTTATGGGAGATTATGTTGATCGTGGTTATTATTCTGTTGAAACTGTTACATTATTGGTTGCATTAAAGGTTGGCAAAAATTATAATATTATAATTTATAAAATATATTATTTTTTCAAAGTAATTTATTTTTATTTTTAATAAATCTTTGAAGGTACGATACCGAGAAAGAATAACAATTCTTCGAGGTAATCATGAGAGCCGACAGATTACACAAGTATATGGCTTCTATGATGAATGTTTGCGAAAATATGGCAATGCAAATGTGTGGAAGTTTTTTACTGACCTGTTTGACTATCTTCCATTGACTGCTCTTGTTGATGAACAGATATTTTGTCTTCATGGAGGGTTGTCTCCATCTATTGATACACTAGATCATATTAGAGCATTAGATCGCATGCAAGAAGTCCCCCATGAAGTAATATTTTATTTATTATTAAATATAACCAATATTTTTAATATTTTTATTTCATATATTTATTAGGGTCCTATGTGTGATCTATTATGGTCAGACCCTGATGATCGAATTGGTTGGGGTATATCACCTAGAGGAGCCGGTTATACATTCGGCCAAGATATTTCAGAAACATTTAATCATTCAAATGGTTTGACACTTGTTTCCAGAGCTCATCAACTTGTAATGGAAGGTTATAATTGGTAAGCATCATATTGTTTTTTTTTTAATAAAATTTGAACTATAATTATTATTTTCTATTAGGTGTCATGATCGCAATGTAGTGACAATATTTTCGGCCCCTAATTATTGTTATCGATGTGGTAACCAGGCGGCTATTATGGAACTAGATGACGGCTTAAAATATTCATTGTAAATATACCAGTAGTATTTGAATGTTTGTAAAATCATAATACTTAAATATTATTTTTAACCATGATTTTAGTTTGCAATTCGATCCAGCTCCACGACGCGGTGAACCACACGTCACTCGCAGGACACCAGATTACTTCTTATAAGCTAATAACACCAACTGTGTCTGGTATCAGCCCACTTTACGGTATGATTAAATAATAAATATTTATATAATTATACATAATATAAATATATATATATCGCCAAGATTTATCTAAGTAATACAACTTTAATGATAATGTAAGAAAACTAATTAAGAGCAAAAGTTAAACTGTGTTTTTGTTCTTTTTTTTTACACTGGCATTTTTATTATTTTTTATTTATACTTTCAACTAATCTGACAGGATTAATAAAAAGGAAAAATCAAAAATTATTTCTGTTATATTATAAAATAATTTTAAATGCTATATGGCATTTTGACATTATTCAAGGAACCATTTCACATCTGTATTCCTAACAAATTATTTAATAGAATCTTGAAATTATTTACATTCTAATCTAACGTCAAAATATATATATATATATATATATATATATATACGTGTAGTTTTTATCATGATTGTAATCATTTTTCCTGTTGTTTATAAGTTTATTAAAAAAAAGTTAAAGGCATAGGTAAAGACTACAATTTTAAAATATTTTTATTTTAATGTTGGTAGTATTTAATTTGTACTTTACACATAGATTAGTGATCATGTTGTAAAAATTTTAATTACTATAAAAAAATGTGTAAGTATAGATTATGGAAAATTTTGAGTTGTATAGTAGGTCAAGTATAAGTTTTTTCTTGTTTTTGTGAGCAATCGATTCAGATTTAACACTTGGGTATAATTTGTCATAGATTATTTTAATCAAATTACTTTTTTTTTATTATTATTATTATTATTATTATTATTTAAAAGTTATTTATTTCAATTATTATAACCATTGTTAAATCTGAAATTGGTTAGCATTTAATCATACAGCTTGTATTGGGTTGTCAGTATTTTTAATTTTCAATACATTTTCCTTTGTCATAATCATTAATTTATTTAGACCATGTGGTCTTCAGTTTATATATTTCTATATTCATAAATTATAGTATACATTTTCATCCAGGTGATTTTTTACCTTGTTTTGGACAGAATACATATTGTATCTAAAATTACCGAACCAATTTATCCAGCATCTCAAAATTGATTCCAGATTACCTTGAAAGCATATTATTATGGAATTAGTATGATATAAAATTACAAAAGTATGTGAATTCTGATATAGAAAGAATTTCACAATATTTTTTATATAATATGTATATTCTTTATGATTGTAATTTAATTTACAAGTCGTTTATCACTTTTTTATCCTAATTTAGTGGATAACTTCAAAGGTTTTTAAATAAAATCATGATTATATAGTTTGTATTCTAATTTTATTTTGAAGGCTGATATTGATTTTTCAATTAAAAGCCATGTGTTATAATTAACTTGTACCATAACTGTCGATTAATTCTGAAAAGTTCACAGTTAATTTCTATCTATTTATAGCAACTTTCTCTCAATATAGTTTTGAGGGAGAGTGAAGTGTAAATCATTAAATATTTGATAACATTGCTATTTACCTATATCTTAAACAAATTTTTATTTAAATAAAATACTTAATCGTATAATTTGGTATATTTTTTTCTCAACCTCCTATAATTATAATGAATTATGAGTAATTTGGTAAGTTAATTTACTTTTTTTTTTTTAAACATCAGTGCTCCTTTTTGCATGTTTTGGATGAATTAGTTATTGTGTAAAAATGATGGTATAAGATTTTAATTAGGTACAGAAGATATAAGAATTACGAATTGTTTTAATATTACTGTTTACATGGCATTATTATTATAATTTTTGTTTTATACATAAATTAAATTAATAACTAGTGCTAATCAGACTAATAGCTTGTATTAATAATTCTAAAAACTGTTTTTAGAATAGAGTGTACTATTGATTTTAGCCATGAAATATAATTTCATTGCTAAATTCACTTTAATGTTGGTTTTTATTCAATAATTATATGTTTTTATGAACACTATCAGATTTAAACTATACACATCATGTAAGTTTTATACTTTCTTAAAAGTAACTCATATTTACTATGGAAAAATTAAAAATGGAGTAATTTCAAAATGCATTATCTATCTGTTGTATATTACAGATACATAAATAATTTTAAGATGGCGTAAGGTCAAAGAGGAAAGAGGATAAGTACTTGATTGTTGACATAATTATGATTTATTGAATTATACTGAAATTTAAATATGTTTTTTTTTTTTTTTTTTTGATACCAAAAATAATCAATCATTTCATTGTCATTTTTATCACTTCTTTATGATGCTTATATTTAAACATAAACTTGTTTGCAGTAATAAAGTATAAAATTGTATTTAATTTAGTTATGTAAGTATATATTGACTGTGAAAATCCATTATCATTCATTAGTTTAAAATATGAAACGTGACTATAATGTGATTAAAAAAATTATTTAGTCAGATTTTTTCTTGTATTTATTTCATTTACATATTAAATATTTTAAATTCACCTACTGTTGATTGTTACCAACTGATAATTTTAGCATATATGTAAACTATATAAAATCATATTAACCAATTATAAACATTTTAACTTAGATAAATATAAAAATACAGAATAGAATCTACTTTTTTATTTTAAAACAAATATTTTTTAACTTAATGTAACAATACATTTTTTTTTAATAATACATACTTACCTTTTGTTAAATATTTTTATATATGAAGATTATTTAACAAGAAATTCCTTTAATTACAACAAAGATTTTTTGTTATTGATGTAAATAACCTTGTGGGTATAAAATGCATTGATTTGAAATTTGATCAATCCAAATTATGATTTTAAAATAATTGTATTAATTAATAATCATTTTATTTTATTTGTAATGTGTATTTGTGTTCGTATCAAAAAGAAAAGATAATACAACAATAATTTTATAGGCATGTGTGTACATTGTTTATATTATTTCAAATCTAAACATTTAAAGCACAAAAAAATTAAATCTTATAGATCAGCGGTTCCCAACCTTTTTAGTAGCGTGGACCATCAATTAGAAAATCTTTGAGGCCCACCAATAGTTATATTTGTATAATGTGTACATATGTCAGTTATTATAATTGTTTATCAAAAAAATAAAACTTCATTGAACCAGATTATTCAAGAGTTGAACAATTTAATGTAATTTTGGATTGTTCCCCACGAGAGAATCAATATCTGGATTAAAAGTGTCAAGTATTATCCTTAAATCATTCAAAATTCAATTTATTCCTACATTTATTTTTTTAAAAAGTAGAAAAAGCTCGTTCACACAGACATACAGGTTGTCGAAATATAGCCCACCAAGTTTCTAAGTAAAATTTTAGAAATTGCTGGAAAGTCAACGAATTTTTAACTAGAATGGTAATTATGGTGTAGTTTTAAAAAACGATTTTAGAGTCTGATCACATGAGAGTTCAATCAACAAATCGTCTCCACTTGCTGATACTTGATATTTTGAAAATATATGTAAGTAATGTTAATATAATATGGTTCACAGCCCAGTACCACCTGCTCGCGGCCCATGGGTTGGGAACTACTGTTTAGATAATGATTTTTTTTTATATTTTACTGTTAAATAATTTATTTTATTTAAATTAAATGCTACAATATGTTAACTGGTTGATGTAAGTTATAATTTATGGACATAGGAGATAATATTGGTTTAATAAATTGAACTGATGATTTACAATATAAAATGTATTAAATTAGCATGCATTTTTTGCACGGATCAAACAGTTATCTGAGTTTTTATTTGTAAATATTTTTTTAAAGATATTTAAAAGCAATTGAAACTGGTTTGTTACAAGTACAAGTACCTTGTTATATTTTATCAGCTTATAGCTTTAATTCTTTGTATAACCTATTATATATTATGTTGGTTGTTATGCCTCCTAAATTTTTCATGCATAAAAACACGTTTTTATTGTTTTCTCACTTACGTTTATTTTCGACGACAGTTATATAAAGTATAGTTGTTCAGATTTTTACTATCAAAAACTTAGAAATAGTAGGGTAATCCGGATTTATGGAGAGTGACGTTAATAGTAGTTGATGGAGAATTCCGCTTAACACTTCGGGCGAGAAAGTAAAATTATCCGTTTTATGATTATCTTTGACGATAACTATAAATCACTGACACGTATCCCGAATTTGTGTTATAATTACACAAACATTTTTCAATTTACCTAAAGCAACCGATTGGTTCAGATCGATGTAATTCATAACCTTGACCGAATATAAACGACTTAAAAATAATGTACAAAATTAGTTTTAATCTTTTATAACTACTTGTTACGTAATCGTGACATAATGAATTTATTACACTAATAAATCCATACCTTTTATTAGGCGTAAGGGTTACCGATTATCTTTGTCAATATTTTTCTTGTGGTGGTATCAAATTTATAAAATGGAAATTCTTAAATCAAAATAAATTACTATGGAAATTGGTATGTAATAAGTGTAATTTTTTTTTTAGCCATAAGTTCGATAGTGATAAACATTACTTACTGATTAGTAATTAATCTATCTCATTAATTTTCAGCAAATATTTCATACCTAGGTTAATGGTATTAAATTACTCAATATTAATCATTTCAGCTTATGAAATCTTATTATCAAATAGTAAATTGTTAATTATAACTTTTGCATTTAAAATGTCTAAAGCAAATACTAGCTCAATAGATAAATCTATTTTAGAAATGTTTCTGAATGTCTGAATCTCCTTGATAAAATATATAAAATAGTGATCGTACCAAATAAGAAAATGTTCAGGTTGATTTGCTGTAATTAATTATTGTATCATATATGTGAATTTAAAAGAAAACAGAATTAAATTATATCAAGTAAGTGATTAAAAGTATTACCAGTTTTTAGAGTTGGAGGAGTACTCAATTTTGTAAACAATTTCGAGTTGAGTTTGAGTCTCTGAGCCAACATAATTACGCTATTAACTCACCCACGACTAATACATTCAAAAAATTCTGTATTTCCTCTGAAAATGGGGCTGGGTCCTTTTAGATCCAAATATCTACCACCACTAACCTAACAAAAGAAGGTGCCCAAGTAAAACTTCAATTTTATCACGCGTTACAGCCAAAAGTCGCTATTCTCCTATATCCAACTTCAATGACAAGACTGATATAGACCTCTAGCGAAGGTGAGAATTATCAACAGGGTGAGGTTAGTAAAAAAAAATATCACCTATAGGTATATGTTTATAATATAACTGAAAATTTCCATAAATCATTATCCGCATTAGAAATTAACGTGTTCACCAGACCCTGCTCAATTGTTGTGAAATTTAGTTTTTGCCGCCCTTTACGTATAAATATTTTTTTTATACATAAAAATTGTCCAGGAAAAATGCCGCCCTAGGCGTAGGCCTATATCGCCTACCCCTTGAGCCAGACCTAGTGTTCACTATCAACCACACCAAAAAACACTAAAATGAAACTTATCTACGATTTTAGATCCATTATCAAAAAATTCGATGACTCAGAAATAAAATACCACACATATCAATTACCTTTGAACATGGGCGTGCGCAGACCTCTTACAGGGTATACGAAATGTACCACTGCGTACCCCTACTACTACTGAAAATTAATTTAAGCGTTTAAAATTCAAGTAAAAATATACACACAAATATCTAAATAACTGTTAAATTTAAAAATTAAATTTTTTCCTTAAAAAAAAGACTGAATAGCTATTTCTTTATTGTTATAAGTTATAAATTATAACTTATAACTTAATAATCAAAATTTTAAATAAATTATATTATACATTACCCCAGTGGCGTAGATACAATTTTTTATCTGGGTGGGGGTGGGGTTTTTAAGAGTCAATTCATAATATTCTTAGTATATCTTAATACGAGGTTCTATATAATAATATTACATTTAAAATGGTATTATTTACCCGTATTTAATGAAAATTATTTTGTTACTCAATTTTTAATATATACCTAATCATAGTAAAATCAAAATATAATTTTACTATAATATGTAAATATTAATAAATAATAATTAAATATCATTAAAAAGATCTGGGGGTGGGGTGGAAATCCCTTATACCCTCCCCGTAACTACGCCACTACATTACACCAATGTTGAAACCCTGGTTAAGTCACTGATCGTGGATATAAGTTTATAACCAACTTTCATAAAACGTCTTAGGGAATGACTAAAGCTATTATTTAGACATACAATTAACATTTTCGCGTGCCAGTGGTCCTTCAATTACGCTCCTGGTATTCACTAGTGGCTTGAAACGCAATGTTTTGTGCCGTGCCTCCTGTACA